TTTGCCTGCTGAGAGCCATGCTGCAGGTGGGAAGAAGAGGTGGTTGGGCGGACATCCAAGAATTATAACCAAAAGACTTCCCTGTGCAGCTGTAGCCATCAACCTACACTTCCCACCCTACCTCCCTCAAGTTTTTGAATTAGTTTCTCTCTGCAGTGCAAAATCTTCAAGTCCTATAGAAACTAAACTCTGAGGAGACTTTCTTGACTGTGCTTTGTTCATACCTTGCCATTTTTTTGATCCAGTGCAGGAGCACTTTTCACTTCCTGATATCAAGGGTCTAAGCACACAGCAGGACCAGCTTCAAAACAGAACAGGTGTGCAGCCCTCCCAAACAAATCATGTGTTTTAATTTGACCATCGTTAGGCAAGTTATGATCCCTGTATTTTTTCAGGACCCACTACAGAAGACAGCAAAGCAAGGAACTCCAGATAATTAAGGGTATGACTGGATTTTCTCCACCCCCTCAACTAACAAGCTACTCATAAATACCATCTCCCAACTTGTTTTCTTCCCTGTCCCCATTTTTCCTCTCAGGATGGAACTCACCCAGATCCAGATACTGCAAAACTTGTATGACATCTGCTGCCACTACATTTTTAATAGTCCTTCCATTGTCTTACTGCCTTCTTTAAACTGCTCTTCACAGCAATGTGAAACACACTTGCATCAGTTAAATTTACGCAAATGAGGTTTGTTATTTCAAATCCTTCTGTAAACACTTGCTCTGTAAGGACAGGCATTATTATTATGCAATAACAGGTATTTGGAGAGACTACCTTGTGCTTATCTTAGCTGAAAGTCTTGGAAACTATTTTCCATTTTCATACACTACCTTCAAAAGTGTTGCTGTGGTTTTATTTTGGGTGAAAAGAATATTTTCAAGTATTTTTTACTTCAAGTATGATTTTAGTCAAATATTTTCAACAGTACTCTGGACCCGATACAGAGATTCATTTATCAAGTTTCCTATTACACATTACAGAAAATGTTTCACAAACATACATGCTCTACCAACTTTCTATTACACATTTCCTTACACAGTTTTGATCCAAAACCTGGCTAGTCTTTTTCGTAAATTCACAATAAACACAACCAGGAAATCAGGCAAGATAAAAGTGACTGAAATAGTAGATAGTACATAGAACTCCATGGTCTGCTGAAATAAATCTCAATACCCACAGTAACACTAAAGGACCACAGAAAAACAACAGCCTGTAATTTTAAGAATATTTTCAGTATATCTCATTACATCTGTTGTCTTTTGCAAATTTCGGTGCCTTTTTTCCTGTTTTACAGAAACTTGTCTATATAATCACTACATACATCATTGTGCTGTTGCCACAGAAAAATTCACCACACAATTTGCATGTGGCAAGATACTTTAAGCATGCTTCCCATGAAAAAGATACAGTAGGTCTACTGCTTTTTGTCAGTAGGCCTACGTTCATTTCACAATTCAAGGGAAAAATGGGTTTAAATGATACAAACAGTTACTTAGTACATGGAATGTTGTACTTCTCCTAAACAAGCATTTAAGCATTTATCTCATGATGTAATGAATATTTTACGCCAAGCTTGGTATTTTGGCTGCACCCTACAAAATGCCTCATACAACTTGAGAACTCGGATTTCATTTTTCCAGGTCTCTTTTCAAATTCCTATTTATCTTGGAGGCACTGTGGAACACTTGAATTTTGGGAGCCTTTACTGTAAATGCATTGTTCCAGCCAAATCATTTGCAGATGGCTTTGGAAGTACTACGATAAGTTCGCTGGCCACCAACGTAGCCACAGAACTATTTATACATCACGACACTTGGAAACCCTTTGAACAAAATAGAAGTCCACGCTGCAGGGTGCTGTACAGAGAAAGTTTCTTTTTTGTCCTTAAGAGCTTAAACTCAGTGTAAGGGGAAAAAAAAAAAAAAAGTCATATGGACATGGATATAAAGAAACCAAGAGGACAACTTCAGAACAACAGATTCTGTTTTTGCACACCAGCAGTCCATCTCACCTTCATCTGATTGACTGTCACCCATTATTTGGCTAACTAGCTCCATGCAATAGGAAGGAAACAACAATGCTCTGGCAACATCCAACAGTGGCAACAGAACTTCAGGAAGTGAGACTACTGTCTTCAAACCAATTGCAGAGCTCAAACACTTCAGCGATAAAAGATCAATATAAGACTGTCAACAGTATTTGATATTTCCTTCTTTACTTTAGAAGGCCATGCTCACACTTGTTCTCAGCTGAAAAAATATTTTGACATTTCGGTGTATGAAAATAGTAGCTGTCACAGGAACAATAATATACAGACCTGAAAGACTGAAAGGAAAGCTCATGGCAAAGCTGGATGTTTAAGAAATGTCTGTCTCTTTCTAGAAGCTAGATGTCCCTAATACATTATTTCAACAACAACAAAGGTAGCCCTTCCATGCAAGCCGGGTAGTAAAAATCAAAGAGGGTACCTCTGGCAACACGTGGCAGCTAACTTAAGAAAGTGAAAGCCAAGATCCATTTGAGGAATAATAACCTTTTGTTTAAAGGTAAAAACAGTATAATATGCTAAAAAGATCATCTGATATTAACTGTTTCTGGTGAGTCACTGAAAGACTGCAGAAAAGGGAACAGTCTCATTCATTCTTTCTCACCACCAGTTTGATCACCATTTACAGACATAAAAAGGAAAAACTTCCAGAATTGTTGTAACTTCAATGAAACTCCTAGAGCTTACCATACCTCCATTCTAGACTATTCTATAAAATTATATTTAATGTAACATAATAGATGTCAGCAGATTACAAGTTTTGCCATTAAATCCAAGTAGGGTACCATGTTTAGTTTTGTTCTAGCTGAAGTTTAAATATTATACAAAGTGAGCTGTTTGTGCTGGACTACCAAAATAGTTTCCTAGAGTTTTGCAGTTTGTAAGAACCCTTCTTAGAAGACACTTATAAAGATAATGAAAATTTTGAAGTTTCATACTAAAACTCACTACCGTTGAAATTGTCTTATCACTACAGCTTTATGATGTGAAAGACAGTAGCTAGTGACTAATAGGAAAAAGTAAGGTGAAAATGACAATAACATACTTGCAGATGTCCAAAGACGTTCATTTAGAAAAGGTACGTTCAGCTCTTTGCTGCCTTTAAAGCTCAAGAGAACAGGGAATACTCCATCTGCCCCAAAAACTGCAAGACCTGTGGTCAAGTATGTGTGAAGAATACCAACAGACTGAGAAGGCTAAAACGTAGTTTAGTAAGCTTAAGAGGGAAATTACTGGTGTGTGGATTTACTGCAACAGACTTTTCATTGAAAAGTGAGGTAGATCAGTAAAAACTAATTTGTACAATGTGTTTCCAAGAAAGGACTACCAAAGGGACTTTGTAGAAACAAGATCTAAAGCAGTAAAAGGAGACGCAAAGCTAAGTGGAACTACTATTGCTTAAATCTCTGACAAACAGATTCCACAAAGATGTCAGTCAACAGGAATATTCAGTAGGAGGGTACTATCTTGATCTCACTTGTGACTCACTCTTAAAGTAACATTTACCTTCTTAGCAACCCCTGTAACTAAAATGAAAAACCAATTCACTGATCGAAAGCATAGGGAGAATGTTATCTTTCTAACTGGATTGGCAACTCCTTGCCTTAGGACATTACAAGAACTAAAGGCCCAAATCAACTTCTTCTCATAATAGAGAATATAACTATGTTAAAACTGAGTAAAGGAAACCTTTGTGTACATAGGAGAGAAGGTAGAAAACCAAAATCCAGCATATGAACATTATGTTCCCTGTTCAAAACAGCAAAAACACATTCACAGCATTCCTAGTCATGACTTCAACTATAAAACTGAAATTGATGCAACAGTCCCAGTTCTACACCCATGTTAACATAAACTGTACCACCATTCATGCAATGAAAAGCAGTCTCCATCTTGGCTTAGAATTGCTCCAACGATGCTTGCTTTAGCAAAACTCAGTTGACACACTGTGCCCTTTTGCACGCTACTTATCTGCAAAATTTTACTCTTCAGAAAGAGCCGCAAATACATCATTTACTATCTTTTTTAAAAAAAAAAAAAAGAAAAAAAAATTGAAGTTATGTTTTCATTTTCATTTATGCTTAAAAGGTTAGTCATATTATAAATATATCTGTTCAAGATAACACACTGGTGTTCTTATGTCTGGCATTAGTGGTTAACCACTAGCACAGGAATCCCTGCAAAGCAACATATGTACACGTGAAAAAATCCCACCCCAATAATAACGTATTTTACATTCGTAAATATTTAAACACTCAAAAAGCCTTCAGAGACCAGCGCTCTCTAGAGTTTATAAACAGGAATAGTTTCTATTTTAAGTTCCACTTGAAAAAAAAAAATGGCTTTTGTATCAACAACTAAAGTTGAATAAATAGTCCCTCCATTAGCCTTAATTCTTATTTAAGTACAAACTTACACAACTGAAAGAACCTTTACATGTAATATCACAATTTATACGTTCCTTGTGTGAAAATTTCATCATAGGTCTAAAGTTTAGTGATGGGACTCGATAAGTCAGTTTGATTGTTGGATTCATTGATCTTGAAGGTCTCTTTCCCAACCTAAATAATTCTATCATGATTTTTTTTTTTAATACCTACACACTTATGGTATCTCTTATACAAAAAGAAAAGAGCAACAAGTTGATGATATAAGAACTACCTGCTACTGTTACTAGTTAACACAACCCTCAAAATGCACAAAAACAATCTAGAAAGATTGCTTATTTGGCCCTATTGGATAAATTCAGGCATGCAGATAACAGACTTCTATTAATTTAAATAGAAAAACATCATTCAAATTGCAAAACAATTTAGATACTTCAAAAGGTGGAGCAGAGTCTTAAAGAGCACCTCTTTATTTGTCTAAACAAGCTATCACTGCACTGCACAGACCTTTCTGCTGGATAACTACTGAATCACGGCTGCCAATCAATTACTTAACTCACCTGGCCTGACTGGGGGGATAAAGAATTAACAACCTCCTCCAGCATCACTGGTGTGTGTAATCTTCCAAAATGTTTGCTTTCTGTGCTTTGAGACAACTCTCCAGTTTCATGTTTCTGTACGGCTTGGTCCTTCGACTCACAGTCTGAACAACGTTCTGCTGAAGAACGGATCCTTCTGGTCAAAGCAGCTACCTTCACTGGAGTCGGTTTTACACTGTGCAGAAACAAACATTTGCGAACTTGGCACAGCCGCCGGGATAACATTTTGGAGTTGATCAACCTAGAAAGACAGTAGACTGTTGGGAATTACTTCCAGACAAATATTTAGAACAGGTTTGTTAAATAAATAAATAAATAAATAAATAAATAAAAGAGGAAATGCCACAAGGAACCACTCCTCTTCCCTGACACTGCTAGGACTCTAGCGGTGTTCAGACACCCCAGAGATGCCCACGTTAAATGACTGCACCTGCTCTACAGGAGCACTCCGGCTGCCGAGCCCAATGCGTTTGTGGTTAGAAGAGGCACAGAGGAACCAAAGAGCAGCACTCCAAGACGTGTTTTGGTTACTGCACGCAGTAAATAATAAAGTATGACCCGGAACACGTTAAAAACCCTGTGAAAGTTGAACACGGGTAACGATCAGGCTTTATTTACAACACATCTCCTGCGGTAACACACTTCACGCCCTCACTTGCTGGGCGGGACACCAAACTTTGGTGTGAGCCCCTCTGAGGGGAGAATAAAAAAGAGGAAAAACACGAAGTTGCGGCCCTGTGCTCGCACCATTAACACTGTAACCGCAGGCACGGGACACAATGTGACCCTGAAGAGACGAACGGCAGCCTTGGGGCTTCACAGCCTGTCTAAAAAACTGCGTGACGGGGAGGAGCCCAGCAGCGCTCCCCTCACACAGGACCCCCCCTCCCCTCCCCTCCCCTCCCCTCCCCTCCCCTCACGCGAGCGCGCGCCCGTGAGGAGGAGCCGGGCCCGGCCCCGCGCGCGGTGCGCGCCCCCGCCACGCGCTTACCGTTGTCTCCGTCGCCCCGCTGGCGTCACGGCGGCGGCGGCCAATCAGCAGGCGGGGGGGCGCGGGCCGCTCGGGTTTGAATTCGGCCGGCCGGGCAGGGCGGCCGTTGGCGCGGGGCGGAGGGGGAGGTGAGGCGAGGGGCGGCCGGCGGGGGACGGGGCGGGCTGGGGGGAGGCCGCGCTGCCGGGCTGCGGCTGGCTCCGGGCGGTCTCGCCTTGGCTCCCCTGTGTGTGTTTCCCCTTTAACCGGTGTGTCAGTTGCAGGAAAGGTCCCGCTGAGGAGGCTCGGAGGCGAAGCAGGGGCAGGGCGGGCCGGCCGGGATGTCTGCTGCGAGGGAGGAGGATGTCTGCAGCCACGTCAAGGTGGTGGTCCGCGTCCGCCCCGAGTCGCAGAAGGAAAAAGAGGGCAACTTCAGCAAGGTGGTGCACGTCGTCGACCAGCACATCCTGGTCTTCGATCCCAAGGAGGAAGAAGTGGGCTTTTTTCACAGGAAGAAGCTGGTCCACAGGGATATCAACAAGAGGGTAAAGAAAGACCTGAAGTTCGTGTTCGACGCTGTTTTTGCGGAAAGCTCATCCCAGGTGGAGGTCTTTGAGCATACAACTAAAAGTGTCCTTGATGGCTTCCTAAATGGCTATAACTGTACAGGTAACTTTGCTATTTATTTCTTTCAATTCAAAAAATGCACTGTATTCCTTAAAGATTCTACCATTGTATCTATTTACCATTGTATCTATCTGCTGCAGAGGCCTTAAAAAGACTGACATTTAAATAAAGGATTTTGTTTTCATTAGTAGATGAGAGAGGTTGACCCTGCTTATGGAATTTAAGATACCTACACTCTCTTTTGAAAGAGTCTTGTTAGGGTTATAACAGACTTCAGAACTAGATCTGAAGTAAGCGTGCTTACAAGAGGACTCTCCAGGAAAGAGTTATTCAACCATAAATTGTTTAATTGTTTTACTGAATATGTTCACCTCTTTTATGAACTTCTCTCATCAAGAGCTTGTCTTCTTAATTGGTAAATAAAATATTGTAAGGGAAACACAATAGGTACCTGCAGTAAGTTCATGGCTTAGTGTCAAGACAGTAAAGAATTTGTCATTTACGTTGCCTGTAATTGAACTTTGAACTGAAAATGAAAAAACAAATGACATTGGAATAGTTTTCTGATGACTATAGAATCATTAAGGTTGGAAAGGACATCCAAGATCATCTGGTCCAACCATTCTCCTACCACCAGTATGACAGCTGTAAAAGGCAAAGCCCAAGTGAGAGATTGGGTTTATGAAAACAGCTGTACAATATCATAGATAGGTGAATTTTCACTTGGAGTTCATGTTCCTGATTGGCTTGACTTATTGGTACAAAGTCTGTGTTTTTCTCTTAAAATTCAGTGCTTGCGTATGGTGCAACAGGAGCTGGAAAGACTCACACGATGCTAGGTTCTCCTGAAGATCCTGGAGTCATGTATTTAACCATGATGGCACTTTATAATTGCATGGACCAAATAAAAGAAGATAAAATATGCAATGTTGCTGTGTCTTATTTAGAGGTAAGCCAGTTCCTGGATTTGGTATGTTGCATTTAATAGGGTGTATTTTTGTAAATAAGACTTTTTTTCTTATTCCCCTGCTGCCTTCACCCTTCTTATAAACCATTCTGGAACTTGACAAAATCTGTCCCTGATAGGCCTGGAACTGAACCGCGGTCTGCACGTTAGATATCATTTATAGGTGCTTGTTACTGTCTTACAGAAGCCTTGCCAAAAAGGCTAATCTCTTCTAGCATACTAATTAAACCCTAATGATTCCTGTCTTGCTGATAAGTTGAGTTGCTTTGAGCTTCTGTTAACGTGTACAAAGAAAATCTTGTCAGGGCTATATTTCAGGACTTAAAGATAAAATCTTGTAGATGCTGTAATTGTGCAAGTAAATAATATCTAATACTTTTTCAATCATGTTAATTTCTGTAAAGATTTCAGGTCAGTTTTACTGTGTCCCGTATGAATAAAGTTTTTCAATTAGACCTGCTATGCCACTGCTTAGCTTTCTACAAATATTCCTGTTGTTCTTTGCTGTCAGCTTTTTTTTTCCTGTCTCCATCTTTTTTTTGCATCACGGTTCTGTTCTTACAAGCACCTGTCTTGGCACTGCTATAAAGCAGCAGTAGCAAAGTTATTCCTATATTTTAGCCCCCACAAAGTCATAGTGGAGGAATAGTTAGTAATGGGGGGGGGAAGGTGGGAAAAAATGTGCTATTTCAAGTGCTTCCACAGACTAAGAATTAAAGCAATTAAGTGCTTTAACAGAACTATTTTTGGATTAAGTCTCACTGAAGTATATATATTATGAAGTGTAGTAGGTGATAATCAACGCTTTATATTCACACTTGGTGCAGAAGTGTTTTTTGTAAGAACAAACTTCTTTTGTTCTTTTGCAAATAAAAACTAAAGATTATTTACTAAGGAAGAGTCCCACTTCAGTGGCCAAAAAAAATTCATGGGAATTGAATAAATAGAATATTCCAAGCTCAATGCAGGAAAGGTGTTTAGCGATAATTCTAAAGAATTAATGTTACTTGATCTTGAAGACGTATTAAAAATATGATTTCTGTTCCAACTTAATCCTGGCAATTAGAGCAGGATAGTTTTTAAAATACTTTAAATTCCTTTCTAAAGGTCTACAATGAACAGATCCGCGATCTCCTGGTGAACTCGGGACCTCTAGCTGTTCGTGAAGATACCCAGAAAGGGGTGGTAGTTCAAGGGCTAACGTTACATCAGGTATGTAAATAGGTATTGAAATTCTGGAAGCCCCGTAATATGTGAGGTGAAATAATGAAGTTGTTATTGTGGATTGAAAGCTGTATGAAATTTAGCAACTTTCTTGTGTTCTATTTTTTCTGTGGCAATAATCACTAGTAACTTTGCCTGCAAGCCTAATAAATGAATTATTCAAAATCATGTTGTTAAAAAGCCACTTGGATCTATTTCTTGGATAGAAAATGATTAAACATTTTTGAAAATCATGGCTTTATCAAACAGTCACTCTTGATTTGATATTTATCTTCAGCTTGTTTAATTAATACGCCTTGGTGATGTCCTTTAAGAAATACTATCTTCAGTGCTTGTCTGAGTACTCAATACCTCAGAAAACCTTGTGCCTACCTCTCAGGATTTTTCTTCTTAAATAGTATAAATAATTCATTTCCATAAATATTTTTTTCCAGGCAAGCACAGCATTTCATTATTTTTTTTTTTTGGCAGTTAGTGACGCAACTTAATTGATCAATCTGTTAACTAACTCTTGTAGGCTTTTCCTCTTGCAGGTATTTAGTGCCCATTATATGTGCTGTAGCTTTCTAGATTTCGCGTGTGTAGATTAATGATTGAAAAGCAAACAGTCACATTAATTTGGCTCATTCTTAGAAAGCTTTCGTTTGAAAAGCTGGAAAAAGAAAACTATGTTGCTGTTTGATGCAAGTACAAGAAAGATTAAAGCCTTCTTAAGACTTTTTTTGCTAAGTGTAGAGAACACTTGCTAGTTTGTTTAAATTGTTGTGTTTTCTGGAAAAAAAAAAAAGCCATTTAAATTTTTACAGCCATTAGGTACTTGCTTTTCATGACTTACTGTTTTTAGCTGAGTATTTGAAGAGCTTCAATTCTAAAACAGGAATTTCCGAGTAACTATACCTTCAAGTACCTCTGTTGGTTTTGGTTGTCGTTCTTAGTGTTGTTTTTTAAGATGCATGTTGATATATCTTAAAATTGATACAAAATCTTGTATAGTTCAGATAAGCATACTTTTCTCTTTTTCACTATGCTCTACCTTTAAAGCCTAAATCAGCAGAGGAAATCCTTCAAATGTTGGATTATGGAAATAAAAATAGAACACAGCATCCCACAGATGTAAATGCATCCTCTTCTCGGTCCCATGCTGTATTTCAGGTGAGATGATATAGCAGATATACACAAGTATTACTATAAGCTTTACTTACTGTCAAAACTTGAATAAAGCAGAAGCTTTTTTTGAAACTGTATCAAACCTTAATTTTGACACAGAGTTAACTGTTCTTGTTGAATTCTTATCCCATGTAAATGTTCCAGAGTGATTAAATTTTGAAGAAGTAAATTCAATGAAAAGCTCTCCAATTGCAATAATTCAAACTGCAGACCTTGAAAAAAATACCTTTTCTCTAAAACGGTTGTTTTGAGCCTTGAATGTACTTTCCTATTATAATTTTTATATATCAAAAAGCCATCTATCCTTTTTTTGCTCAGGATTTTTTATACAGTGAATATCTTACAGAATATCACTATACATCTGACGATAAACTGAGTGTCTCAAGCAGTACTTAGCAATCCTACTTATTTTGGTTAATGGTGATTTTTCATACTACAAGTTTACTAAATGTTTCAGTCTGCATCAAATTTTAGAACAAGTACAGTGGTTTTTATACACAAAATATTTGAGTGACATATTCTTGGGTGATCAAAATCAAATGTATACTTGAATTCTGTAGATGAGGGTTTTGCAGGTGTTCTACAAAAGTGCTAGAATTGAAGATATCTCTAAATATTGCTGTTTGCAAACCATCACCTTGTCATTTTGACTTGTCTTAAATACAAACCATTGTAGAATAATGCTTTAGAAATGGGTCCTGTTAGCTAAAAGCTCTTGATCCTTTGATCCTCTTGCCTACTGCAAAATACACTGTCATCTATCATTTTTGTTGCTCTTCTGTGTTGCTGAATATTATAAGCAAATTTGAGATCTGGTAGTTGCATTACAGCTCAAATAGAATCTAACTGTTAGGCAGGCCCTAACCGTACCTGGAGACTGAAGCAATGTGTAGTAACTATAGTCAAAAGTTTATATTTTGATGTAGAAGATGGTAATGCAAATAGCTGTAAAATAAGTATTCCAGAGCTTTTGTGTCAATACTAATGAAAAAAAATCTTAGTAAGAGCCAGTAAATGCTCTAAAAGCTTCTGTTTTCCTATATATGTTAGGCTTCTCTTTGAAATTGTCTTTTCTGTTAATTTTCTGAGGTCTTGCCTGTGGTCATAAATTTAAGGCAATGACTTCTCACCAAATTTAGGTCAATAGCTGCATTGTCACCTGCGTGTGCCATCTTTAATAAGGCACAAAGTGCAGTGCCACAGAAAGAGATCAGAGCATGAACTGCTGATTTGTCTCTTTGCTTTGGGCTGAAGTGTCTTGCCTCTCTCACCTTCACTTGGCAGCACGCAGTTGATTGTTGTATCTGGCAGGCTTTGGATTCTTCTCAGTTTGTTTCTAAAAATGGCAGGCAATTAAATAAAGTAGATGTTGTGGCTTAGTTGTATTTTAACGAGACGGCAAGCAATTAGGTGAATAGGGATTGTTGGAGAATTCATCTTCTCCAGCCTACATTCTGTTTACTCTGGCAAATAGATCTCAGTGTAGATGTATTTACTTGTTAGCAAAATCTGCTTATTCACCAAATAAAACAAGCTATATTGACAGAATTAGTGTATTTGTATTTTGCCACAAGTTTGTTTAAATGTATGACCAAAAAAAATGCGTTGGTATGCTTAAGCAGACTTTTTTTTTTGATTTCATTATTACAAACTAATTCTGGCTTAGAGAGAAAATGTGAAGAAAATATATATGCTTGCAGATGAATTGATCATTTACTAGTTGGTAGGTAATAAATCATAACACAACAGAATCTTTGTTTTGATTATATCTAGATATTGTATGAACAGCAAATATTTCAGTATATGTATACATAAAAAATATTTAGCAAGTGGCTTGTTTGTAATACATTGAACAAAAGTGGTGTGTTCATTGATTATTTTTTTTGTAATACCATTCAGAAGTTCTGAAGTAGCTTCAATTTCTTGTGTATAATAAATACACTATAAACTGGTGTGGTACACCAGAAAACAAATAATTCTGCAAATGTTTACAAAATACTGTTAAAGCATCTGACTTGAAAAAGCAAAAAGAAACACAGGTCTTCTCAGGTTCAAACTCTGTCTTGAAGTAAAAGGGGTTTCATCATAAAAAATTGGTATCGCCATGTACTTAGCATTCATCCTGATGCACAGTTCATTCACAAAAACATTCAGACTGATTTTGTTCAAGGCCGGCACCAACAGATTAGTGTAGCTAGCAGAAACTTTCTTTGGTGTTCATTGCTGTATTTCTCATCCAATTAATTATTGTAATGAGATAATGCTTGTTTTGTTTATTCTGCCTTTTGAGATAGTCTAGCTGTCAACAAAGGTATTTAATTGTTTTCACTTAAATGTTCCTTTCTGTCAAGTGATTTAGTTATTGCTCGAAGTCATGATTTCTTTTGTTAGGTAATCGTATCCTAAATGTATGAGTTATATACATATCTACTAATGTGAGTCTTCAAAGTAAAAAAATAAGCTGGTGCAGCCTTTGAGTACAGCTCACTTAACAATGAATGGGGTGCCTTTAAAAAATGAACACCTTTCAGAGTAGAAAGCATATTAGTGTGGTATACAAAGTGACAAAGAATAAAGCTGTTTTAGTTACCAAATTAATTTGAAGCTCACCAATCTGCCACTGTTGTAAGGCCACAGCCAGTCATTTGCTTATTCCCCCACAGTGGAATATAGGAGAGAATCAAAAGGGCAAAGGTGTGTGGGGCAGGCCACCTTGTGGTTTGAGATAAAGTCATTTAGGTAACAGATGCAAAAAGCAAAGTAAAAGCAGTCAGGTTCCACCAACAGGCTGCTGTCCAAGTACTCCTAAAGCACCGACTATTTTGGAGAAACACACTATTTCATCACTGAGAGTGACATTGTATGGCATGGAATATCTTGCCGGTTGCTTCGGGTTGGCTGTTCTGGTTATGTTCCTTTCCAGATTCTTAAACACCCCAAACCAACTAGCAGGGCTGTGCAGACAGAGAAGGCCTTGCTTTTGCTGAACAAAACATTGGTGTTAACCATTGGCGTGTTAGCAACACGGTTACAGTTGATCAGCTTTCCCAGATTTGAAAGAAAACAATGTGTGGTCTGCTGTGAAGAAAATTAAGTATGTCCCAGCCAAACCCAGTGCAACCATGCTCAGCTTCTTTTTCTTACTAGTACCTGAAGCAGATGAATGCAAGGTTAGTCTTAGAAATAGTTTTGCTATGTTCTGTTAGGCCAAACTGCCAGTCGCTGAGTACAGAAAGATTTAACTTATGTTCTTAAAAGTATTTCAGAGTCTGTTTCTGAAGACAGCTGTTGGATTGTAAAGCTAACTTACTGCTTAGAGTAATAAGGCTGGTTAGTGGTTACTTCTTAATTTGATCTTTTTTTTTCCCTTGTAGATTTATCTAAGGCAGCAAGACAAAACAGCTAGTATTAGTCAAAACGTTCGCATTGCCAAAATGTCCCTCATTGACCTGGCAGGATCTGAACGTGCCAGTGCTACAAAAGCCAAGGGGGCTCGTTTTAGAGAAGGAGCAAATATTAACCGCTCCCTTCTAGCTCTTGGAAATGTCATTAATGCCTTGGCTGATCCAAAGGTATGTACCAATATCCTGTGCAGTCTTCACCTCCTAGTGTTTTGAAAACCCTTAACGCTTACTATGTTTAAAAACGTGACTCTTTGTGGTATCTTTTTTGACTCCTACTGTATCTTCTGAATTTCTTAGTAGGATATCCTCATGAAATATATCAGGAAATGTACATGTAAGGTATATATTAGTCTTTCTACTTGTAAGAATCTGTGGAGTTGGGGGGTGGGGAGGTTACATATTTTAAGACACAGAAGTGTCTTAAAATACCTAGTTGCTGAATCATCTGATGCAACTTAACTTGTTCCAGTAGTTCCAATGCCAACAGTAACTTCCACTTGAAAGAGAGGCAATATGTTCTAAGTATCCTTATGCATTTCCCTTCTGCTGATAGTGATGGTTGGAACAAGCATACCTTTAATTAATGGATAATTGATAAGTCAGAAGCTTATTTACATGTAGTAAACTACAGGGAGATTTTTCATGGATAAGAATATGGGAAAATGTCTTGGTTTTTGTTGCTTACACTCAGAACAGCAATACTAAGGCTTTACATAAATTTAACTGTGGATTCTGAGGCTGTAGTGCTGTGAATAGGTACCTCAATATTTTATAATCTGGTCTAGCAAAATTCTTCAGTTTATCAATTTGTTTAAAGAATATTTAACATCTTAAGATAACTCAAGATTATGCATTGCTCAATTATGAAAATAGAACCCTTCTAAAGCCTGAAGTCCAGGGAAGCTCTCCTTGAATATTAGGGATTACTTGGTTGATATTTCTCCCTTTATCATTTCCCTTCAAGATTTCCTTGTGGATTTTCAACTTTATCTTCTGGATAGCTGAATGAAGAAAGCCCTGATGGGAAAGCATTTTCAAAAACAGTTTCCTTAAGACAGTTGAACATACCTGCTTTCCTTACCCACATTTTCCAAAATCTAGTATGTGTAGAGAAGCTTGCATAAGTAAATCCTGGAAAAGACAGATTTTCCAGAGGCTTATGCTTTTAGTTTTAGGGCAATCTGCTGTGTCGGTGAAATTTAGCAGTATGTTGTGATAACTAAAAGTTTTGCTTCATGCAGTGTTTTTGCTCTCTTACTGGCAATTTAAACATAAGATCTCTTTGGTTTCTTGTTTAACTTCTCTTACCTCTTAATTCTTTCTGTTATGTAAAACACAATTTACATGATAATATGAATTAATGATTAGCTTCCTAAGCAATTTTTCAACATACTACTAATTCATTTGAGAATTGACTTTGTAAACTTGGCAGAAGGGAGGTATGTTTTCGTGTATGGGTGTCAACCTCTTTAACTTCCAATTTCCAACTTTTAACATAAAATAATCAGAAGTATTCTTTTTTTTTTGGGGGGGGGGGGGGGGATGGAAGGAACACCTGAGACTTTGGCAAATGTATTTTTGGGAAAGCTTCCTTCTTTTTCCTCACCTCTATTTATAATTAAACACATTGACTTAATGTGCATTGTACTGTCAGCAGCATGAGAAATGAAAAAACTGAAATGTTGAGACGTAGCTGTCAAATGTTTCTATCGAGACGCATACATGTGCCAGGAAGAGGCTTCATAGACATGCTTGCTTTCCTGTTGCTCCAGTACTCACTTTTGTCTGTTCTGTATACTTGGATTACTGTTAGAAGTTTCTCCTATTTGTCTTAGGATTGGTTCACTACAGTATATTTTAATACTGCTGCTAATGTTCTTACCTGTCAGTTAAAGTATGCCTTTCTTTCCAGTATTCTCATCCTTATATACTTCTGTACTTTTTTGTACCTTGTCTAGTTTTATCTTTTATTAGGGAGAGCCTTGAATTTTCTTTACTTATTCTGTAGAACATGCTATGTTCTTTTCATCTTCATTTTCCCTCTTAGTTGCTACTGGTTGTAAACTGCCTTGCAAGGAGTCCACGCTGAATCTTTATATTTCCTTTTGTCTCCCTAAATTTCCTGTTTTCAACAAAACTTTTTGAAGTGTCCTTATTGTAATATCCTTTTGGGCAGGATCTGGGAAGTACAAGTCACTATTTTAAGCAGAAGAAAAGCAACATGCAAATAAAAAATATGCAGAATGTTACCTGTTCAGTACAAATAAATATTTAGTACAAAAAATTATAGGCATTCAAAATATTTAAAGGTAGCGATAAGCTTATCTTAGCAGAATTAAAATGAAAATGGTTAAGGGGGATGCTCACTGGAAGTTACTTTACTGGTTGCAGTTGCTTTCCATTTTGGTCATTCAAGCCAAGGGGAAAAAAAAAAGAATTGGAGGGTGTGTATTACTGCTGGGGCTAGGGAACAAATCTGCTGTCTAGCCAACTGGACAGGAATCTTCCAGATAAACTGCCTTCATTTCTTCCCCAAAATACAATCCTTTATCGAAATTTTGATGTATGTACAGGAAAGCTTTCTTTGCTATTGTGGAATGGTTTCCAAAGGTATGGGTCATACTGTACACCAAGATCTAAGTTAATAGAGGGTTTCAAGAGAACTTGTTCTGTTGTCTGCTGGATTAGTTAAATGTGAGAGCTACTAGCAGAGGTATGAAGAACAGAGTAGGATGTCCCTTTAAGTGATAGTGAGTTGTTAAATCAACTTACAAAACTTCCTCAACAGTACAGTCCAGTCAAAGGGGTAGTCCTATCAGGTCTTCCTGCCTTCAGATAGTTCTTAACACTTCCTTGCTGGCGTTAGCAGTCATTGAAGCCACACAATTAAATTAGGAAATGATGTTTTTGTTCTGGGTTCTGTTTGTTGGCATTTGTTTTGAAGGGGTAGAGGTGGTACTCACTGTAGATTTGATTTTTGTGTTCTTCTACCTGCTTTGTTCATGGTAGTGAATTAGACTCTTGATCTGGATCACCAGCTCAAGGGAAAGAGTGGGAATAATTGTGTGGGAGGATGACAAAACATCCTGAACTTTTACTAAACTCAAGTTCAGTGTTTACAGCTTACACCCCTTGGTCAGCTAGCAATTTCTACTTTCAAATATGCCAGGGAAAATGATCAAAGCTTTTATTTCCCTTATTGCTGCCAGGAAAAGCTGAAGGTTCTCCTCACTACCCTGTTGGAGTGGGAGGAAGAATTTAGGGCCTGTACCGATGGCATGTTGACTTAGTTGATGTAGGTGGCTGCTCCTTACCAGCCTTCACTGTGAGATGGTTATTCTGTAAATGTGACTTCAAAAAAAAAAAAAGCTTTATAAGGCAAACTTTGGGTTGCCTGGAGATGTTGTAGATTCTCTATCCTTGTAGATAATCAAAACCTAATTGGGCATAGACCTCTGTAGCTTGCTCTAGCTGATCCTGCTTTGAGCAGCAGGGTCTTGAAAGATCCTTCCAACCTCAATCATTGTGAAATGAAATTACGTGAACTGAAAATAGTTTTGCATAGCCTTCTAGCGTAGCCTACCTTTTCTGTTGGTTTCTTACATCACAGAAACTGTTATGGATCCAGATACCAGAAAGTAACCTAGCTAATACTTGTGTTATAAAGGTATTAAACAGTTTCAACAGGAGATAACACTCAAACAATCCACTTGAAAGGTAATTTCGAAGAAGATGACTTATGTAAAAGGAAAGTTCCGAGGCTGTTTGTTGTATTTAATGGTGTTGATGACATTGTAAACAAACATTCGAACAGATGGATATGTAAAATACAATTGTTTAATCCATAAAAAATCATTTATTTCTAGAGCAAAAAACAGCATATTCCTTATCGAAACAGCAAGCTCACACGTTTATTGAAAGATTCCCTTGGAGGAAATTGCCGAACGATAATGATAGCTGCTGTTAGTCCATCTTCTATGTTCTATGATGATACTTATAATACTCTTAAGTATGCAAACCGAGCAAAGGATATTAAATCTTCTGTGAGTATATTGATATTTATTGATCCTATGTCAAAGTATTATGTATTCTTGAGGGAGGGAGAGTTATTTCTTTCAAAAAGTAATTTTAATTGACTTCATTTTTGTCTCAAAATTTTGTTGCATTAGGTTGCTGCTGCAGTCTACTCCTCATTATCTGGGTGTTCGTTACTGAGGCAGCTGCTAGTTTGCGAGATCTTGTCTTGTGAGCCTCAAACCTAAAAATAATAGTCATATGGTAAAGTTGACAGCCAATTTCGGTATTGTACTATTATGTTCTTGAAGAACTGTAAAGCACATGCAAGATGTGCTAGCAGTTGTACAAGAGCAAGTCCAGTTTTGCTACAACTAGAATTCAGCTGGAGCTAAGAAGCTCAATGAGATAGTATTGATAAATGAAAAGCTGCTGCAGCATCATGTCTTCTGGTCTGTAGTACCACAGACAACACTTCTGGTCTATATGTTTTGTCTTTTTTCATAATCCCTTGTATTGTAACACCTGAATTTCCTTTACATAATATAGTCTTGACTGTAGTTTCCATTTATTTCATCTCTTCTCTGGTTTGTTGCCTAATAATGTAAAGGTAACTTGTATAATGAAATTCACAAGGCATGTATGAAATGATAAAACTAGTCTAAATAAATGCAAAATGTGCTTGCATCTGTAAATGTAATTATTGCTGCTGTTCTGAGGGAAATTGCTGCCACGGGTATGCAGCCAATTACTACAGAAGCTAAGAGGCTCATACTTGTCTTGAGCAAGTCAGGAATGTTTTCATCCCTTTTCTCATAGTACACTACAAATATAATTATGTAGCATTTAAACATAATGTATTTGTTTTACAGGGAAGCATGAAGGCACCTTCATAAATTCTAATTCTTTCCTTTCTTTAACAGTTGAAGAGCAACGTTGTTAGTTTTGACAGCCACATAAGCCAATACGTTAAAATTTGCAATGAACAGAAGAAAGAGGTATGTCTAAATTTATTGTTAAAAGGTTGAAATACTAATTATTATGAGTTAGAATTTTAAAAAAAAAAAGTCATGGTTTTAAACCTATAAGGTAAGTATAGTCCTAATGTTCCCGTTTAGGCTTTTGAGGTAAGGGATGTTCTGTTTTTCAAAAAGAATAAAACTTAATGCTATTTATAAAGTGTTTCAAGACAAATGTGTAGAAAGATGGTCTTAAAAAAAAATCAGAAAAATTCTAACTAAAAGGTACCTTTTTGTTTAAGATCATAATGTTGAAAGAGAAACTGAGAGCATATGAAGAAAAGAAAGCAAGTGTTCTTGAAAATTCCAATGCTGCAGTACTTTCAAACCATCAGCAAGAGGAAATAAAAAGGTAAACTGATCGCATTAAGATCACTTTAAAACTGGAGTTGGCATGACTTATAGAACTATTCATAGAAAAAAATGTTTGTATTAAGTCTTAGCCTATTTTGAGTCAATACTTAGCAGTATTACCATGGAATGATTTGAAGTTATCTTGAGCTCCGATCTAATTTCTGCTGTTTTTCTTGCATTTTTGGAAGGACCCTCATCTGGAAGTACTATCTTTCTAAAAGAGAACTAGAAAAAAATGAATTGTGTATGTATGCACATATGGTTGTGTCCTACTAGAGAAAATTTAGTGTTCGGGAAAGTTTTGGTAGCAAAAATACTAACGGTGATTCTTGTCTGTGTCTGTGGGAGATTTGCATATCCTTAAATTCAGAGTACTTGAAAAAAATTGTTAGAGCATAGTAAGCAGTAGAACTGCATGATGAGGATTTTATTGTTAAGCCTAACAAAATTATAAAATAATTAAGATATTATTTCGTCAAGTAATGACATCGTATCAATTTGGGGCAGTGTAGGAAGGGACTGAAGTCAATTTTCTTCCATGTGTCAGACTTGGTTTCCCAGCAGTTCTCTTCTGGACAAAAGGCTTTCTAACTGAGGTTAGTACTACACGCACTCCAAGGTGTCAAACCTCTCATTCAGGTTATGAAAACTGCATTCTCAAAAGAACTAAGTTTCAAAGTCAGGTTGATACTTCTGACAGTTTTTCTGCATATTTCTATATAGTATGAGTCTTTAAGGTTAATTTAATTGCTGGTTATTTGAGCTTTATTTCATCCTATGTGAGATGAGAAATAGTTGAGGGCAAGGTCTCTACAACGTTTCTTGAATGTTCTGGATATGTTCCATGCCAAGATATGTTGATAAGTGGATATTCCAAAACATTACAAAAATCATAGAGACACATGCGAGAAATTGGCAATTAAGTGGATTGTACACTCTTTTCCTCATAAGGATCTTTTCACTGTTGATCCTACTCAGAGTGTGAATGATCAATTGATTACCCCACATTGATTTCCAGGTTCTGACAGTATTCTGCTACTTTCTCCCTTCTGTTTGGCACAGAGTAGAAAGACTTACTGCAGCTTAGTGTTTCAGTATGTCTTTCTATGACTTCTGCTTCCAGTGTGATCTGGACAAGATTCACTAATTAGTTGCTTCTCCAAACCCAGATGTCTTTCCCACTCCACCTGAGTAGAGCTTGAAGATTTGTTGTCTGCCAGACCTTCAAGTCTTGAGCCTGTTGAGGTAGGCAATGCACACTGGTTTTGGAGCTGCCACCTACAGGCCTGTGAGCTCTCCGAAACTAGGTAGTCCAGAGATGTACTCTTATCCTGGATGTTCTTACAGGATCATTCTGTGATTTTGAAGTGAAGAAGGGGAAAGATGACTCCATGAAAATTAGGATTATTGAGAAAGTGAATCCAGGTCAAGGCAGGAGCTTTGCAAAGGCTTCTGTACCTGATACTCTATCTGGGACACAAAGAGTTTATTGACTGGTAATAGTTCGTAACAATGACAGAGTATGGATTGTGAGCCTATTCTGCAGCCTCTCTTAAATTATGCCTAGGATTTTACTGTGATGGAAATAGAGGATTTAACATCACTTCTCAATTACTGTGTTTCCCAAGCAGATGGGAGCAACCATGTTTCTATGGATACTATAGAGGGGGAAAAAATTCTCCAGCCACTTGTGCAAGTATTCACTCACAGCGTGAATGCTTGTATCGATGGTAAAAAGTGTAGGGTAAGATCTCCGTAATTCTCTGCACCAAGAGTATTTTAGTCCTTAAAGAAATAAACAAACATACATGCAGTGAATTTTAACACTGCGTGTGTTAGTACAGATCTTTTATGCCAATACAATAGACACTTTGGGGCAAAACTATTAGTTTCCTGAAACTATAGAGAAGAATGATTTTTTTTTTTGAATGCAAGCAATAAAATAACAGAATAAAACACCTGGTGTTATTCAGACATTTTATTATGACATAAATTGCTACTTCTGAAACATGTTGGCAAGAAGTATATGGTAAGAATGTATCTTCAACTTGCTTTCTACTGGAGTCTGTGCTGTTTTATGGTATTTCATACTAAATGCTATGTAACAATCTCAAAGTTTGCACATCTTGAGAACATATGCATGTCAAGTGGTGCCTTCTTATGTAAGAATTCTTAGTGTCATTTCTGAGGCATATGATATCTTTTTGGACTACTCTGGACTGTACTTTCAGTATTCAGGAGTAAAGCAAAAAAGTACCACTGCTGAAACTAACATTACAATATGGTAATGGTTCTAGGCTTTCTCCTTATGCTTGTTACTCTCACTTAAATTGAAATAAGAAGATCTAAAGATCTTAAAATAAATAAGAAATAAGCAGATTTTGAGACCATTTAAACATCAGCCTTAAACATCAGTCTCCTTGGAATATCTAACTACCATCTATCACTTTTCCCGCTATTAGCCTAGTGAATGTTAAAGTATGATGCATGTTCTGAATTTTGTTGTCCTTTTGTGACTAAAATTGTACAGTGGAGCTCGAGGAAAAACTGAGCAAATGAAGATCCTGTGTGTTTTGTTTTTTTTTTGAGGGAGAGTAGGGTGTTTTTTTTTTTTTGAAGGAGATCGTAGGTGTCTATGGCAACAGTAGTCTAATAAATCACTACACAAAGTAGAGAACGCAGCTTTTTTGTATCTTTTGGAGGTAGAGCTAATACTTGTGTGAAGAGGTTGGAGAAGTCTTTGTTTCGAAGCTCAGTGTTGTCTTCATAAATAAAAGGTTTATTTTTAGTGACCCCATTATACATCTCATAGGGTGTTTCTAGTTGGAGTATATGAAACATTTAGTTAGTGAAGCACTGAAACTCTTTAGTGGTATAACAAACTTTGATTTGTCTTTATTTTCTTTATTTTATTAGCTAGGACTTGCAACTTTACATCCAATGTAGAGGATGGTCTGCAAAAAAAGACAGTCTAAGCAGCTAATTGGATATTCTTCATTGTGATATTTTGCTTCTAACAGATACCAAGAAATCCTTAAAAATGTGTTTGCGAACCGTGAAGAAATCAGAAAAGAATACCTAAAGCTGGAAATGCAACTGAAAGTAAACGCACTGAAAACACATTACGAGAAACAATATCATGAACAAATCCAACTAATGTGCTCTGAAGAAAGAGTAGAAAAGGTGAGTTGTTTGCATCTTTGTTTTTGCTATACTAATATATGGCTTTTGCTGAAGTATTTATGTAACTTAGTGCTTCTCTATACTATTGAAATGGGGCACAGGGGCAATCACTTGGAAAACATTTTGAACATCAATACAGAAAATGTATTAGTGTCACGTATACTTTTTTCCTTTCCATATCACACAAAAAATGTTGATGTGCTTTTCACTGTTAATTGTGAAAACTTTTTCAACTTAGCTATGACAAATCTATATAAGGCTACTTAGTACCTGACTTGGGAGACTCATCATGCCTGTGTCCAAAACCAGTGTTCAAGTTAAGAAAAAGTTTTGTTGTGACTGATCCTTTCCATAAGGAAAAACATAAAGCTTATGCTAAACGAGGCAGGTCCTCATTGTTAATGTTTTCAGTAGTCACTATGAAGACTTTGGGCTGTCTGCTTGAGGGCATGTGAATCAAAATCATGTTTCATTGCCTTGAAAAGAATTTGGAACTAAGTACTAACTATTGCTGTTACACGTGAGCATTCAATGCTGTACTTCTCAAAGATGAAGGTATATACAGTCCCTTATTTTTTTCATGTAGAATGTATGTTTTATGTAGGTATGAATTTGAGGGTGGGGCTGATTTTGCTTAATCATAGTAACAGTCTGCATTTGGCTGAAAATGATGGTTTGCCATATGACTATTTTTTTCCATGGTGATTCACATGAAATTTGGTCCTTAGATAAATGTCAAAGTGAAAATATGTCACATTTTTTGCTTGTCATTAATGAAGATATTTCAAGTGACTAATGTGTTCTAGAACTCTACTTCCAGAGTTTGTGTGGCATAAAATGTTTGGTCTGTGCTGCATTAAGTGCTGCTTACAGTGCAGCACAGTTACATATTTGTTAGGAGGGTTATGCCTTCACACTTAAATACGAATGTTTCTCATGAGCTGATAAAACTAGTGCTGAATGCTAGTGTGCTACACTCAAATGCTGTTGGTTTTTCCATCAGTTAGCTTATAGATGCAATGTACTAAGAGTCAAGTGTCACTGTACAATACATGAATTATTAACAAGAGTAAGCTGCTGTAATGGTAAAACTTGATGTCCTTTTGAGACTACTTTTGTTGGAACAAATTGGATTTTAATTTGGAATCCAGTCATTTGATTATCAGAGTGACTGCTCATGTTTCCCTTGTGCACTATAATGCTTCTGTTCTTCCATGCATTTTTACACATGTGCTGTTTTCCTAAATGCCCCTGGGCTCTCTTGCTAAAATACACTGAGGCTACAGGGGTATTTCTCAAATATTAATTTTTAAAGAACAAGTTTTACTTCTAAAGCATTTTGAAGTTGACACTTAATGGTTCGTGCTCAGTAACTAGATATAATAATGATGATAGGCAAGTCAACACAAAGCAAACTCTTTCTTACACTTGAAACACATCAGTTGAATACTTTATCTTAAATGGTAATTTTAGAAGGAAAAAACAATGTATGAGTTGCCTTCATCTCCTTTTTTCCAAATATTCTTTTGATACAAGAAGTTGGTTACAACTGCTTTGTAAAGTTCAGTTCTGCACCAATAATGGATGACCATTCTATTTCCCACATACATGCACCTAGTTTAAGCTTTTTTGGAACTTGGGCACTGAGTACTCAAAACACTGCTTACATACTGCTGCCTAATTCCTCTGTTGCCTCTTTCGATGTTTATGTTGTCTTTCTGTTCCCTGCTAGGTATATGGTAGTGTTGTCCAGAAAGCCTTTGTACCAGTAGCAGAATATGCAAACAATGTCTCTCAGCACGTAAACGTATAAACCTGTGCCCCTGTGTTTTAACTATTTCACTGAGTTTAAGCAGGTCTTTGCTCAGTTTTGACCTAGTTTATCTTGATGCTTTCTGCATGGGTCTTGCAATCTGTTTTCTTTCTAGTCTTTCTTTATAAAGGCATGGCAAAAACTGCTACAGTGAGAGGCTTTAAAAAAAAAAGATTTAAAATCGCTTCTGACACTCTATTGTGATTTTAACTGTCATGAACAAGAGTATTCCTGGAAAGCAGTCTGTCTGTCCTGATTTCAATTTTTCTACTCACTGCAGTTGTGCATGCTGAACCTAAAACTACTTGTTGAATATATCCCAATTCTTCAGTCTGGGAGATAATTTTCTTCTCTCATGTGACTTAGGCAATTGTGAATCTGAGTAAGAGCCAAGTGTCTGGGCCAGGAGAATGTGTTTTAGAGGCTGTGCTCTGGCTCAGATACAGCTAATATGCTTAACCATTTTTTTCCTCTTTCAGCACAGTAATAGAATGTCCTTTATTGATGGGAACATATTGGAAGGGTTCATCAAGTGGTGGGATATCATAAATACCACCTTCATTCATAATACCTCTCCTGCACCATGTAAAAGCTGAAGACAAGTATGCAAAACAATGCATTTGGATTTTTCTTTCAGTCGTCTTGAAAGCTGTCCGCTGGCCTTGCTGGACAGAGGGAACTGTCCAGTGGTCATTGGCAACTTTAGTCTGGCACTCTAACTCTTTGGGCAACTTCACTAACGGAGTTGACCCCTTACTAAGTGACTTCATCTTCTTTGGATCCTCCGTCATCTTTTTTTGTTTGTTTGTTTTTTAGACTGTCTTATCTTCTAAATGAAATTCTGCCTGGAGTCTAGTCTTGATCTTGATGTTCACACATAGTTCAGGTATCTTTACCATGCTGGTTCTGTCTTTGTCACACCAGCTGTTGAAGTAAGCATTTCAAAAAAAAATAGCTTAGGAAATGCATTCTGCATCTCCCCATATATTTTTGCTGTTTTCAACTGTATGTTCAGAAGGACATCAGAGCAACTGATGTTTTGTGCAACATTAGGAAGTTATGTTCATACTTTTTTTTGACACCTACCATGGAACCAGTTTGACCTGCTATTGTAAAGAAGTAGAACTATTCTAGTCAATGAAGTTACCACTTATAGACTTTAATTTTGGAACTATATGGTTGCAGATACATAGCTTGTATAGGTGTTTAAAAAAAACTAATTGGCTTCTGTATATTCACTTTGATTTGGAGTAGCAAATGTACTTTAAATGCTTTTTTTTAACTGAAGTTTACTGAAGTGCATTTTTTTAATTGAGGTTGAACTCTGAATGCTATCTGAGGTGGTTATTCTCTACAACTACTTCAGGTAAAGTGACCTAATTTAGAAAGTATACCAGAAGTTAAAACTGCCCTCACAAATTAGAGTGATTCTCCTCTGTTGTATTTAGGACTTAATTCATATCCAGGCTGCTTTTCTGTTTCTGTACCTTTCTGTTGACAGGTTTCAGAGAAGCATCAGAATACTTCTGATGCTGAAAGATAAAGGGTTTTCCATTTGCCAAATATTTTATCTTTCAGTGGGCTTCTTTTAGATCATATTGCATTAGGAAAACAAAGCAGATAAAATTCCTTCATCATATTGATGCTTGAGTTACTAAAACTTATTTGGTTATCTTGTATCTAGAATTCTGTTTATGTGCATGTGCAGTTTTCAGTCTCTCTGATTTGAGATAAATATGGCCTAGAACAGATAACGATTAAAAACTATGTATTACTCTTGAAAGGAATAATCAAATAACTGTACTCTCTATATTCTCAGGTTTTCAGGGAGAAAAAGTGTGGAAACTTTTAAACATAATTAAAGCCCATAAGGAGAATGTACTACTTAACTTGCATTAAGCAGGTCAAATATGTAACATGTTTATGTACCATGAAGTATGTATGTACAGAATTGGTTTTATGTATAGAGATGTTACACAGGATCATTTGAAAGGTGGTGCCATAAACACAGATTTTATTTGTTTTTAGGCTACTTGTAAGCGGGATCATAGGCTTGCAAGACTTAAAACCTACTGTGCACACATGCAGAAGAAGAAAGAGGAGGAGATGGAACGCTTTGAGGAAAATTGCAATTGGCTGCATCGAGTTGAAAACGAAATGCGCCTCCTGGGTCAAGATGGGAGTATTCCGAAGGTAAAATGCCTTCACTTTAAGAGCAGGTCTCATGTGTTGTAGTGAACGTGTGACTTGTGCTAAGAATTTTTTTGATCTTTTTCTTCTCTCTCAATCACATTTATGACTTCAGCTTTAACTTATGTGGTGGTTTCAAGTTCTAGTGGTAACTGGTTTGGTTCTTCTGCACTAAAAGTACATAGTTCATACAAACATTCCTTGTTCATCAAAGTGTACAAGTACCTACAAAAATACATGTTAAAGGTAAACAGCCATGATATGGCTGAGTGTTTCAGACAGCTGCTACAAAGTTGATTTTGCTTCTGGCCCTGCAGTTCTATTCTAAGCTCCTGAGGCTGTCCAAGCATATGACAACCTAACTTTTAGCCTGGGCAAAAACAGTTGTTTTTTGACTTTTTTTAGGGTGCTAGATGGTAAGGGAGAAAGAAGTGAGAAGCTGTGTTAAGTTCTCTGCCAGGTTTTAGTAAGTAGGAGAGTCAGTTTGGTGCAGCCTCACATGAGCACCAAAGCTGGTAGAAGTGAAAAACTAGAAGTATGTGGAAGAGAAGAGGTGAAGAAAGGCAGCGGGCTGTTCATCCCTACATTTTGGTTTCAACTGTGAAGTACATTGGCTCAAATGGTGATGTGCAATGAACACTTTGAGTCATATAATGGAGCATACATGTATAGACATACACATTAATGCCTGTAATTAACTTGGAAATGCTAAAATATGTTGGTACGTTAAAATAAGTGAATTTGTAAGGTATTTCAGACAAGATACTGGCGTCAGAAAGGTGACTGAATATAGTAAAGACTTGCCCCAGACAACATCACTGAAATACGGATATGCAGCAAGTACACAGGGAAAGAGGCAAGCCTGTCTTCATTAATGCACACAATAAGAATCCAACAGGCATATATATTTTTTTAAGGTAATTACAGTACACCCATTGATTTGTCAAAGGAAATCTTCAAAGCAATACTGATGTATGTAAATAAAAATCAAACAGTTTGTACTTAATGCCATAAAAATAAATAATAATGTAGATCCATTCTATCTTTACTTTTCAGTATAGGAACTTTAATATGATTATTTGAAGGTAAAATTTGAGTTTCTCACTTGAAAGACGATATCTAGTTGTTTATTGTTTATTGCTATCTTCCTAAGGAACTATCTAAAGATCTTCAGTGTTGCCATTTAAACCTAGAAGCTAAGGACCTGAAAGCACAAATTGAGCATATGTTATCACTAGTGTCCCTTCAAGATCAGCATTATAAGCAGACAGAAAAGTAAGTATGGTTTCACAGCAGGCCTGGTAAAACCTGCAGTTTGACATCTGTAACCTCTGAATGCTACATCTTGAGAATTTAGTTTTAGTTAGAAGCAGAATTTTTCTGAAACTTTTTTCTTTCAGTTAATTTTTGTTTTTTTTTTTTTCTTGTATAGAAAGATACAGAAAACAATGACTTGAAAAATCTTGGGCTCAATCCACTCTAGTTTAACAGAAGCTACAACTATTCTCCTTCACTTAGTATTTCTATTTTGTTTCTTTCTCTGCGTAGCTTTTACAAATTGTTAATAGGCCAGGGTGTCTCATATTTTCCACTTCTGTGTTGAACAGTATTCATTTTTTTATTCATTTTAATTTTCTGCATTATAGATATTATTTGCTTTTACTTATATTGAAACATTTACTATTAAACTGGTGCATAGGTAGTAAGACTGGAAAAAAAAAAAACCTGGCAAGTAAACATCAGCTCTGTTTCTATCAGTCTCTTCAGACTGTTTGAGCCTGCCTTCCAGGGTGCAAGATACGGAAGGGGAAACAATCACATATGTTAAGTAAATATATGTATTAATGTTATAACAATCATTACAAAATGAAACAACCATCTTTTAGTCATAGTTGGGACAAAAGGCTGTTGCCTATAAACATTACAAAAACAAATACACAAACATGAAAAATGGAAAACAAAACTTTGAAAACCCCATGTTGTTTGTAGTTAAATTGTTTTGTTGTTGCTGTTTTTTGGGTTTTTTTTTTTTTTTTTACATAGACATCTCCTTGGCTATAGTATGAACCTATGGTTTAGTCTTGTAATGGAGTCCACTGATAAATTCCTGTGCATGGATTGGAATTCGTAAACTTTTTTTGCTGAGGAGAAAAATTGGTCTACCTAGTCAAGACTATCTCCTCTTAGTATTATAGTATGCCCCAAATGTAAGCTACACAGCAGAGCCTGAGGGCAGGGGAGCACAGTAAAAACATCTGTATTACTAATACTGGCAGCAGTATTAGTAAAGATCAGATGAGTTGGATTTATTCATGTTTGTCTTGCCTCTTGTTGTTTTACAGAGTACTAAATAGTTTGCTTCCAGTTCTTCGCAAGCAATATCTGATTTTGAAAGAAGCTGGGTTGTCAAATGCTTTAATTGAGACAGAATATGGTGAGGTGGAGCAACTGATTCAAAGGCAAAAATCAGTAGTTTGGGCTGACCAGACTGGAGAAGAGGAACGCAGTCAAAACCAGGAGCTAGAAGTGTCAACCATTTTTGAATTCCCACAACTTGTGAACAAACCAAACACCCCGTGCTGTAAGTATATAATTTGTTCTCTTCTGGAAATACTTTAAAGTATTCCTGAAAAAGCTGCATGCCATTCTTAGACATGGTGGGTGCAAATTTTTGCAAATATTCAAGATAAATGTAAAATTGAAATTAAGGCACACTTAAAATACACCATTCTTCACTGGAAGTGGGGACCAAGTTCACTGTTTCGAAGTGTTTCAAAGGTATTTTTCAATACCTAGACTCTAACAGAAAACTCCTTTATTCTCTTGTTGTAACCTGCTGCGTACAACAATGTTCCTAGATCATGTAAATGTTATTAATTGGTGAATCTTTCACTGTGACCCAGATGGAAAAGCAGTCATGGTGTCAATAGCATTATAATTCTATCAAAGTGATTCAAAAAGTTGAGCACCTACCACAGTTTCTCAGTTTGAAGTAATACCTTTGAGGGGAGTGAGCTTTCCTCAGAAGTATGAGTTTACCTAGAATCAACTTAGTGCAGTATTTCTTAAGTTAATTTTTTGAAGAAACAAAGGATTGATTGTGTTGATCATGGAGTTGACTCTTTGCTGTAACATGACGGCCCCATGACATTTCTATAACTCTATGTAGCTGTCTTACCATGTTTAGGCTTTCCTACTAGCACTGAACATGCTGGTACTTTCTGATCACTGGTAATAGTCCATAACAATGAAAGACTACCACAGGTAACAAATGAAAAGCATACTAATAATATTTCAGTTCCTCAAAAGCTAGTTGTAATGGAAGAGCAGTGACCCTGGAGCACTGTGCAATTAGCTTCCTACTTCCTTTAGCATTCTTCCTATACACATCTTGCTCAGGGGTTGGGAATTACTCTGCCAAAGCTGCTTTTCTTTTTACCTTGAGTTCTCATTAAATGTCTACATGAGTTTGCCAAGTATTTGTACCACTGATCATACCCAGGGAATTGGCCTTGCATATTTAACTGTCTACAACATGAAGTAAGATGGTGTGTGGACTGTCTTTATCAGGTATAGGGTGTTTGTTTTAGCGCTTTGTGAGAGAAAGAAAGGGAAGAGTTGGCATATTTACATGCTGCACTTCCTATTTACATACTATACTTCCCACTCTGCCAATGCTAGTCAGAGGTTCATCAAGATATTATCATAGATTGTTGGCAAAGTTGTGGAAAAACCATGGTGTAGTGATGAATTGGTAGTAACTGCATTTTGTGGTATTGTGTTTGTTAGGAGCCACAATGCATCTATGATACCATACTAACAGAAAACTTTTCTGCAAAGCTTTATGAAAGGCTTTAAAATAAGAAGTACTGATTCCTTTCTTGGATTTCCTTTCTTGTATCTGTTTATAAATAAGAAATAAAATAAATTAGTTTTCTAGCCTGTTTATTCTGTCAGGGCAAAGCAGATTCTATTAATGAAGGGTTTAGAGGTGTTTTGTTTTTTTTTTTTTATTGTCATAACTGCTCTGAAAATTGAACTACTGTAAATCCTGTTTTTGGTGCTAGAACACGTGAATTTTAAGTGCTAGCAGTTCTGCTTAGGAAAAAACACCCGAATTCAAATCATCCTTTCGGGTGCCTTTACTTCTGTTTGTATAGACAGAGCAAGAGACTATTTTCATCTATAATTATGGTTGTGATTATCTGCCGGAAACTTGCAGGTTTTGTAGGACATCAAAACAAAAAAAAGCATTTAAGATGTTAATAGTGGGTTTATAGAGCTGTAAGTCGGCAGAAGGAAAATACAGATTCTTTAAACCACTTGTAAAATAAGAACTCAAGACTCAAATGCAGTGAGTCTTCTCTTGGATATCCCTCTTGTAAGTGTGCATAGCAAACATGAAATCACGATCTTAGCTGGTATTTACATCATAGGCATGTTTTTGATATACTAAGGTCCAAGACTGACAAATATGTGGCTCTTCTATTGGGGTGTGACTTGTGAAAAAACACAGGAGTATCTAAATATAGATCAGGTGAACCTGATAATGCAATATGCGACTAAATGCCAACTGTAGAGATGGTATGTTATCCTATGTGGGATATGGTTGTCGTAATTTGTAATTCTGCAGCTTGCTGACCCTAGTAAGCTTTGTTAGTTTTTTTTTTTACTTGATCTACTTTTGTACCAACCTTTCTTCAAACACTGTACTGTAAGAGGCCAGATCTGTTCTTACTTACTAGGAAATGCTAAAATAATAAAATGACTCCATCAATTTTACAGGAACTTTGAAGGCATTAGCATTTCACACTGTTAAAATTAGTGGATTTTAAATTGAAGGGTAGTCTTGTAGATCTCAGATTTTTCTAGTTCTAAGTGTTGTTGAACTGTATGTTTACCTAAGTGAAGGGATGCTGTATTTTACAGTTAAGACTGATTTTCTTCTCAGTCGCAGATAGTCTTTGCCTGAAGACGTTCATAGAAATCTTTTGTCTTTTTTTTTGTTGTTATTCTGTGGGAAAGGTCATGGGAAATCTTCCTTCCCTTTCTGCCCTTATTGGAAGCAGGAGAAAATAAAAATAATTGTCCTTCAAACGGGAGTTCTGTAAGCTTTACACTAAAAGTTATGGTAACTTATGAAAAGATACATCTCAATTTCTTTTATTCCCTCCATCTGCTTGTGTGCTCTTTGCATTTCCTTTTGACTAGCTGTATACATGTGTTATGGTGCTACTTAGGATTTTTTCCCTATTGAAACTCCCACCGATTCTTCATGGTATTTAAAATAACTTCAATCTTGCTCTTCTTGTCTCATTGGCAGCTTAAGGTGCTGAGCTAACTTGAAATAAGTTTTAACAGATTTTAACTTCAATGCTACTTATTAGTGTAAGACTTTCTGATCAGCAGGTATCCATTGTCCTACAAAAATATCTAGGCATAAGTAATAGTAAAGAATAAGACACATTGCAACTAAGTACTAGTTTATCAAGAATATGATATTTGAAGCTAATTTGGGATTGAATTGACAATTGACTTTGCATACTGGAAGAATTTCAAAAAATGAAGTTCTAAAAAGGATTAATTGGGCATTCAATTACTTAATTGCAAAGGAGATATAGCAGTTAAATATAAACAGTAATAGCTCTGCTAGGAAAAAAAAAGAAACACTTAAACTATATTTTTACATCATCATTTTAACCTTGATGTGTTCTTTCCTACAATATTACTGATGTTGGCACAATAATTCCTACATGTTGGGAGGTGGGGGTGGATAAAAGTGATCCATTTACCTGTGGGAAAGAAAATGTGTTAAATTTCTTTCAGTAGAGCACAAAATATATGTAATGAAATAGCTCTTCAATTCTGTTTGAATTCCCTTTTAAAATATTTTGAACTCATAGTTGATATTCTATGCAATAGTATTTCTCTTGTGCAGAATGTAACAAAACTATTAGGGGGAAAAAAAACACCATTAAGCAGAAAAAAATACAGTAGCATGGGGAAAATGTGAAGTAATAGAAGGGCAACATCCCAATCAGAAGTAGGAAGGATGTAGTAATTTCTTTTTTCCTTTAAAGATGAAATAAATTATTCAGGAATCCAATTCCTTCTCCCTAAAGTCATCTCAGAAGTATGCTTGGCAAATGTTAGCAAGAGCTGACCTAAGATCTTAGCGAACAAATAAAAAGGAAGATTTATACAGATCTTCTCACACCTTCAGCACATTGATATTTTATTATTTATAATTTGTTCAAGATGTTGGGAAGTAATATTTTGCACCAAGACCAAACAAAATAGTGCTACACAGTGGTAATTTTTATGTTATATAAAAACCTGTATTTCGCATATAGTGATTGTGTTGGACTTAAGCTTGTCAGCAAGAAAGAGCAAAACTTTCCTGTTATTTCTTGTGATTTTATTCTTAATTCTCACTTAAGTTGAGAGCGGTGAATTTTTTTTGTCTTCTGTTCTGTGTAATTGTGTTATCCTGTGACAAAAGTTTATTTTCCATATAATTTGGGGGAGAAGGGTGGAAAAGTTACTAGGTATCAATGAAATTACTCATTCTTATGAGTAGTGAGTCTAGAGAGTTTAAGAGGAAGTACAGTGTACTAGGTCAGCTGGTAACAACAGTGATGAATTGCTCTTGAACTTATGTTAAGACATTGGCTATTTGCTGGAATATATCTTGAGATTTTTTTTCTGTATGAATGAGATGCTACTCATGGAAATAAGTACATTCTGTAGAACGAGATGGGGACAATATCAATTCTTCAGTGTAAACTTTAAAGTCCATAATAAAACTTTTGCTGAAGTATCTAAGGATGTATGTAAGATCCATTCAAATAGATTTGCAAAATACAAATATGCACAAACATCAGTGCTTGAAGGAAATCATTAAATAGTGCATGGCATGAAAAGTGAGGCACTAGAGGAGGAACTCCTGTTTCTAGTGATACAGTAACGTTTTGCTGGCAATTTTTAGATTATATCACAACATTGTTCAAATGCAACTTAATTGTTGTTGGGTGTTTTCACCTAAAAATCAGAACGCTTTAGATCAAATAAATTCTTCTGCTTATAGGCACTGTCTCCAGAAGTCCGGAGGAGTTGAATCATTTTGGTAGGTGAAGAAAAGCTATGAAAGCAGGGCCTTAACTTTTCATGTGTTACCTCATTAACTACGTTCTGTTACTTGGTCCTGAAGAAGGAACTCAAGCAAGTGACTTAAAAAGACTCTAAAGAGAATAATGGGAGTAAAGGTCGCAGTAGGGATTTTTATTCCAGGTCTTGTTGAAAATCTCACAGAAATGAGTCCTGAAAAATAAATTCAAAATTTGGTTACTTAATTAAACATTAAAATTATCTAGTAACACTTCAAAGTGTTTTTGAGATTATCTTATGAGATCCTGTTATCTGTCAAGAGTTTGAAATTACTGTAGAATATGAGCTGAACCTGAGTGATGCATGAAATGTTTTTCTAAAAGATTTTCTTATATGGAAAAGCTCTCCGTATTAAATACTATAAAGTAGTAGTGGGAGAGAAAAAGATTTTGAATGAATGGTCAGACGGTCTCAATGTAAGAAACAACCTGAATTCTAAATATCTGATTCTTACCTGGTTGTGTTTTTCTTCTTCCGCCCTAGGATTTTAGGAAATAAAACAATATGAAATACCTTCAAATTTGATCTCATGTGGAACATTTAAATCATCTTAAATTTCAGATTGTTCAATTTAAATAATTTAATACTGAAAAATATTTACCTGCACTGAATTTACTTGTTATACATTGCTTTGTAATTATGCATCCTCGGTAGTAATTTTTCGTAAGTAAAAAAAAAAAAATTCTTACACCATGACTGGAAACTTGTCCATTTCAGAACCTCTACTATTGCTTAGCTTAATTATGAAGCCTTAATGCAGAGTTCCAGTAATACCTAAACAATACTTCGTACTCTAATAGGTATTTCTGAACAATTTTCCGAATGTATGTTCCTATTGAAGTGTTTACCCATACTATCTTTATAACCTTAATTATATGTTAGAAATGTTGTGCTGTGCACCTAAAAAGTGCAACCTCGTGAACAACTCAACCATCAAATGAAGCACAAGTTATGAAAACAACATAAGTTAACTTAAAACCAGATTTAGGCCCATTTTGGGGCTGTTCCTCAATGGAGAGCCATACAGGATTCAGGACTGATGGGTGGAAAGCTATGACTGCTATTTGCGAGTATTTCTGTGAATGGGAGAGTTCTTGGCATTGTTTCAGGCATCCCATTTCCGGAAGCCTTACTGTGCATTAGCAATGAGAGAATGGAATTGATTTACAGGAAGAAAGAGGAGGGGGAGGGCATCCATTACTTTCTGTAGTGACAAATATCCGAAAGTGAAGTCAATTTATTTTGAATGGCAGGAAAAATTGGGGTGTAGTTCTATGTAGCAGATAATTTGATTAATAATAGGAAAAGTGTGCTGTTTGTATATAGACAAGATTTGTCATATGCTGAGCTGCTTTTCCATACTGTGCTGTATGACTGAGTGTTTTTCTTATGCTGTATAAAATAGTATTGACTACTGGGACCCACTGGAATGCAGACTGGATTTTAGCGTTTCCAGTTGATAGTTTGCTTTTTGCAAAACTGTTGTTAAACTCACCTTCACAGGAGTGTGAAGGTTCACATTTACCTTCACAGGTGAATATGAAATGAATGAAAAGGATTCACTAGGACCTCATTTGTGATGTGGAATTCCATGAGTCAGATGTTACAATACAAATGTACGATTAGTAATGGGATCAGTCACTGGTCACCCAAAAAATGTTGATTGAAATGAGTATGGACCATTTAGTGCTGTTTCTAGAAATAATCCTCTTATACATGTAGTAACATCAGTTCTAGAAGACAAGTCTTAGCCGTTACAAGTTGTCTTGTCACGAACTCTTCGTGGCTCGTGCAAATATTGCTTTTCATGGTAATTCTCATTGCTATAAATACCTGATATTGCAGTTTCTCTCCTGATAAATCTGAGTACTCTTTTGGAACAGGTAATAAAACAAACCTCATGCTGCTTGGGTGGTTGTTGCTCAGTAGAGGATGACTTCAGTTCTTGAATTGAGTGGATCTGGGAAGAAAAAACAATAGCTAAGAAAATCTCTGTCAATTATCTATTATCAGAATGATCCTGAAATTAAAGATCATTAAATATACATGTATATGTAATCTGTTCTCTAAAATATATTGGGAATTATCCTTCTTTCTAAAGAGAAGTGTTAACAAAGTACTAGCTAAAGAAATGCACCTTCTAAATTGATCTTTTACGCTAATTCATGAGGTTAACTAGCAGATTTTTGTGCAACGTACATAGTGATTTGCTTTTAGATAAAAAGTGATCTTAGTATCACTGAATCATGAGGTTCATCTGATGGAAAATATTGAATTGGCCATAAAATTTGAAGCAAATACAAACCATGAACATAATCACCCTTTTTTATTATGAAGTAGGTTTGGAGATTTTCTTTGGAGGTCAAAAGTGTTTTAAGACAGATTATTTTTGTTCATTTGCAGTACTACATTTTCTCTGAATGCAAGTTTTTATGTCTATAAGTCTTAACATATGCCTATGAAATATCACTTTTTAATAGTATTGAATGAACTTTGAAGATATTATGAAGTAGAATCTCAAAAAAAGCTGAAAGTGATGTTTTTTAAAGGTGAAATGTCTGTTGAAATGACTACTTGAAGCAGTCTAAAATCTATAGGATTGTTGTGTTTGTAACATCTATTGTTGTCAGATGCCATTTTATTTTTATTTTATTTATTTATTAAGGCAGAAATTGAAACACTGCCATTTCCTTATTTTGTGGGTTTTAAAGTTGTTTGTCTTGCTGTATTCATATTTACTTCAGATCGCAATTGCTTGAATCCATGTACTGTAAAACAGTGAGTTAGGGAAGGAGGAGGTGTTTTTTTGTGTTTTTTTTTTTTTAAACACTAATGACACACTTATGGGTTTAAGTGGAACTAAGTTAAATATGATGTTGCTGGTGATGTCTTCGTTTACTTGTTTACTGCGTTAGGAACAACTTAATGCTTTCACAGAAAGCTTTGAGGAGGGACGTTTCTTGAATATTTTATATGCTTTCCACTACTTAACTGGAAGGAAAAGCTAGCAGGGTGGTTTTTTTTGAACTTGTTCTTATGAGTTTTGTTCCAGAAATAAGACTTTTAAAATAGGTCTGGATTTTTACTAACAGTTGATATTTGCCCTACATAGAACTGTTGCAATTGTCTTTTTATAAATGCTATGTGTATTACAGTATGAAATGCAGTTCATTATGATGAAATTCAACAAATTATTAATGTTGGCAATACTTTTATGTTCTTTACCTATCTCATTCATGGTTTAAATGCTTGCATTTACAGTTAATTTAAAAATGCTTCCAGTATTTGGTCCTGGAGAAGCTTCTAAAACTTGGCACTCTCACCAAAATGTTTCTCCATCAGACTTCCTTCTTAGTAACTTCAGGACATTAGCAAAACCTCAGTGTCTTACAGTAAGCAAACTTTCTGAAACTGGAAGCTCCCTGTCATAATGCAACAACAGACAAATAGAACTCTAACCGTTATTTTTCCCGAAACACACACTTTCAAATGCATATAAGCAGAAGGAAAACAGAATAAATTAATATTTTAAAGTGTCTTAAAATGTTTAATGGATAGTTACTTCAATGACTAGATTGGAATCATTAGATAAAGCTTTTTCTTTTATTTAAGAATATAAAGTGTTATACAAGAAAGCTGTGATCTCAATTGTTGCTTGTGATGACAACTTTTTTTTTTTAAAGAAATATGGGTTCGTCTTTTACATAGGAAAAGAATATTGCACACTCTCAGAAAACCAAAATTAAAGAGTGAGCAAAATAATGAAGCTTAGCATTGTTGATAGTGTAACAAGAGTAGACATTGAAAATAGCTCATAAATGAGTTTCTTGCTTGTTTCCAACGAACCCTGCTGAGTCTCGGAGGGAAAACAAAGTTATCGGCGTAAGTTTATAGTATTTCTGGTGGTTGCTAGTTATTTAGGGAATGTGCAGGTTCTGTCCATGTAAGAACAACGGTCTGTGACTGGAATGAAAAGGGGAACTGTGGTACTGTGACTATAGGCTGAAAGGAGGCCAGGCCATTGGAATGTTTAAGGATACTAGCCTCTTCTTATCCTCTTTGTTTGCAGAGCAAGTTGAATATAGAAGTACTTTGGATTTTGACAAACTTCAACCCTTGATTTGTTTGTGATAACTCCATCTCCCTCCCTCCCTTATTTTTTCGCATTAAACTACTGGTGGTTGACTTAAGTCACCACTGGCCTAGGCATTTGAACAGTGGTCTGTGATTTTAAGACTATTCTTGAAATCTGAAAGCCTGAATGTAAAGGACCTTTTCCCTTTTACTTTAGAGATCATTTTTTATTGCCACCTATGTGAAAATAAAAATGACACATCAAGATGTACTTGCTAGGGAAAAAAGGACATGATGAGGAGACAGCTGTAGATTACTGTGATGGTACCATCTTAATTTAAGAGTTGTCATGATAATGTGATCATTTTCAATACTCTTACTCTTCCATTCCCTGTTGTAATATCTCATATCTTAGTTGTGATGACTTATAATATCTCTGGGATTAACTATATCCATCTATGCATATTTATAATATTCTGAATGCCACAGAACAAATGGTGCCATCTGGACAATGTTGCAAAAGAAATATAAGTTATATGATGAAATTAATGTGTAAATGAATAGAATCACAGAATCGCTCTGGTTGGAAAAGACCTGTAAGATCCAACCTTTAATAAACAGCATTTTCAATAACATGTTCATATCTAATAAACGTATTTCAGAAGCGAACAGGAGAGAAAAAGCAGTGTTGAGGTAGTAAATGTAAGTAAATGTGCTAACGACTGTTGACTGTTGCACAGGTACAACTTCTGGTACACCATCACAAGAAATGAAGAAAAATACACAACTGGTGGAACTTGAGGTACCACAACAGAAGAGAACCAGGCGGAAGCTAATGGACTCTCCGGTTACAACTCCAAGTCCTGCTGCATCCAAGCACTATAGCCTCCCTCATCTTGAGGATTCTCTAAGCAAGGAGTTTTGCCCCATCATCTATACACCAGAATCTTGCAGAAAACCAGTACAAAGCTGCAGCATGCGGACTGCGGTAAAGCAAGATTTACGCCTTTCAGGCCCTCAGGCAGCAAATGAATGCAATGCAAATATGCAGCTGAAAAAGGCTAGTGTTACGGACTTGACGTGTGATGTTATCCCAGAGTGTGATGAAGGTGACATGGACTCAACAGTAATTCTCTATGAAAGGACAGGTGAAGCAAATGAAGCTTCTGTTGACTCATCTGTAGAACAGTCACAGCCATGCAGCAGTAGCATTCTGCAAAGGTATTTTCCATTGATGTATGAAAGGACTGTTACCCAGTCTTGTCCCATTTCTATTTTCCAAACACTTTAATTCCGTTTATTCTCAAAGAGGTGGTTTTTGTCATTGATGTTAATTGAACTTTTAACACCTACTAATATTTTCAAAATCAAACCTTGAATTATAACAGGTATCAGATTCAATTCTGCCATTATTTGAAATCAGTGTTACTGGTGACAGACAAAGGTTTGTTTTTTTCTTTAAAAAAAAAAAAAGAAAAGCTATTTTATCTGACTTCAGTCCAAAACAGATTTTATTAAATATAATCGTTTTATTTCAGACTTGGTCTCCCTTCCTTGAAAAGCAAAAATACTACTACCTCAGTACCTGAGAAGCCGTCATATATGGCAATGACTTCTGCTGCTGAGAGAAAACGAAAGGTATTAAGGTAAGGTTAAATTAACTGTGCTAATTCTATGTAAATCAGTTTGTATTCATTTCTCACATTCTTACTTCAGTTTTATGTTTCAAATCTGAAAACTTGTTACACAAGTCATCTGAAACGACATACAAGATGTTTTGATTCATATGTTCAACAATTCACATGCTTCTTTTCTTCTTGGTAGAATGTCGTAAGCTTTATTTTGGCTTAGGGGCTCTGTTATTGAACAAGTACAAACAAACGTTGTCTTCCATATTTACTGTCTATTCAGAATGGGAAAATGTCATACAATTATGAAAAAAGTTTCATTATCAACTGAAGATAAAACTTGAAAATGTTAGGCTTTTGATGGAAGGCATTAGACTACTGAAACAGAATGTACAGAAAACATTTGACAACATTTTTGTAGCTGGTGCCTTTATTTTTCTGATAACTCATTTGCAGTCCCAGAAAAACTCCCATTTTGTCATATCTCTATTTAGATCCTGAAGACCTGAAAGGCATTTGTAAGGAGCAGCAGAAAAGCTAGAACTGAATAGACGTTAAATGGAGTTGTACTACTTTTTGGTTGTTCATTGTTGTGGTGTTTTTCATTAGTTTGGACTTTTAGTGTATTCGAGGATAAGCTATCAGGTCAGTACTGATGGAAGAGGTCCTTTTGGTTTCAAAATCAAAAATACATACAACATTTATTTTTTTTATTAAATGAGTCATAGTACAACTCACATGTTGCTGCTTAGTGAGTGGAGCTGCCCCTTAATAGGTCCTGTTTCAAGAATGTTTCAAAACTATTAGAATCAATTTGCGTAGGTACATGTATGTCACGGGCCATGGAAGAAACTTCAATTCTTGGTGACTTTGTATTGCTGTTTATGAGGAAGTAAGAGGGAATGAAAGTTCAGTACTTGGGAAGGAAAAAAAGATACTTGTACCTTTTTACAAGGGATACCTTCTTTCACTTCCTATTCTTTCCTTTTCTTACTCTTTGGGTCTTTGGTGCTTTCCTTGTTTTAAAGTAGTTCACTCCAGGCATTCGTCTCCTACTAATGTTAGAATAAAAATAGAAATATCAGACGCTTTGTATGCTGTTAATATGACTGGATATGGTCCTCCTGTTAGAGAGGAGACAGTCTGTCGTCATACAGAGTCTGCTTTTACCAATTAGCATTATATTCTTATAAGCGTATGTTCTCCAAAAAAAGCATAGAAGACAGTATTTTAGGACTTGTACAAGACAGGCATGTCTTTGCTTGCTATCTATTTTTGGTTAGACAGAAAACCATTAGGAAAAGTAGAAAAACTAGAAGTTAGAGGACTGAAAAGTGAGATAATACAAGATATTAGGGGAATGGGAAAAGCATAGTTACTTGGATGTAAATAGAATTAGCTTGTTTATGAGGCTGTCTTACAAAGTGACACCAGGGAAGTAAGCAAGAGAGGTGTGTAAGGCTGAGATGACTGACGGGTTCATATTTTTCAGTGCAGATCATCAGTGCATCACGTGAAAGGGTATAAAATACAAAGATGTTTTTCTCAGTGACTTTGAAGCTATAACAACTTATTGCAGCTTAGCTGAAAAGTATTGTCCACTATGAAGCAACCCAGTCCAACTCTGTTGGAGCCTGTAGAAAAATACTACAGTGATTTAAAAAAAAAAAAAATCCACTTCTTTCAATGAACCCAACTTGGTCATTTCAAGGATTTCATACATACGTAAGTTAGTGTGCAATGACCTTCAAACTGCCTTCTGTAGTCCCCCAAAAAGGAAGGGGTGGGATGGAGAATAGTATTTAGATATCTGTATCTATCTATATATATATATATATATATGTATACACACACATACATTATAGAGAAACGAGTTTATTTATTTCTTTCTGTTGTGAACAACTAATACCAGCTAATATAATTAGATGTATTTTGCATATTGCAACGTATACATTTGTGGTATTGCTGATCACTTGACTGATGTCAAACTTTTTCTGGCTATTTTTCCAGTTCTATGTCAAACACTGACTTAGGTAGCCTGAGAGAAGAAGTTTCTGCAAAACGTGTTCGACAGGAGATCGTGTTAAGCAATCGAGTTTTGAGAGTACCCAAAATAGCGGGTAAGTGTCAAAATTTGAATATGTGACCCTATGTTGGCAATTATGTTTGTACAGGAGGTCCAAAATTGGAGTTAATGCTTATGGTTTGGGCAATTTAACAGCATTTTTGCTCTGATTAGGATCAGCACACTAAGCCATTGGTTTCAATAGTATATCCATTCACTTAAAATAAAATTCTGAATATTGTCTAATCAATTATCTGGATAGCACCTAATCAAAACTCAATATTATTACAAGCTTGGTGAGGAACACCTTGTTCCAGGAATTGAAGACTTGGAGCAAAAATGTTTGCCTGTTTATTGGGTACCAATTTTATTTGCCACTTCTGTTTGTTGGTTTGTTTTTTTTTTTTTCTCAGAGATTTACTCAGTATACTTTAACACTACTTTGGGTCAACACAGAATTTAAAGAAAAAAATAAAGCAATATTTCAGAATTACTTCTGAACTTGTTTGGCACTATCAGATGGTATTCTGTGGAAATTTATAACAATTGTGTGACTATAAATAAATGATTTGTGCTTGAGGTATAGAAATGTATTATAACAAGATAATTTTTTTTAAAAAGACCAACTTTTCAGCTAAGGGGCACAAAACTCTTCAAAACTTGAAAAAGTTTGCACCTTCAGAGTTCTTGATGCTTTCTTGATGCTAAGTTGCTTGGCACCTGCAGTAGACCAATCATGTGAGAGGAAAAAGTATAGATGAATACATAGTACTGTTGATTCATGGAAAAATTATGTGGACATATTAATGTCTATAAAAAGTATAAATTTGGTGTGAAGCTTTGCCTAATGAATAGTTACTTATTTGGCAAAGTGCATTCACAGTTACATCAGTATCAATTTCTTCTGCTAAAGATTGGGTTATAAGCCTAGCAAAATAACTCTCTACACTGGTACTATTAAAAAAAAATTATATAGTGACATACCAAATTCTGAAATAGGGAAGAGATCTTTAATTTTTGAAGTTTAACTGATCATAAAATAGATCTTATTTTCAAAAGTATACATTACAGGAGAAGAGTGAAACATCAAATCCCTAACAGGAAGAGTGACGTTCAAATTGAATTTAAAAAAAGTTTCTTCAATGATGTAATGTTCATTTTTTGATACAGCTCTGTACATAATCAGGATTAATAAAACTTTAATATCTCTGCATTTTTAGATACTGCTGTGCCATTTTTATAACATCTCATGTGTCAGCTGAGAGTCCTATTGTTGGACTTCATAGGTAATTAGCACACTGCATTACTGAGCTGAGAGTGATTACACTTGTATCAAAAATAGGCTTTCAATAAGGGAAAGAAGCGTGTGCAGAAGTTCTTAGGCATGCTCTGAAAAAGAGATCGAGGTATGAGACATTCGTCCAATGAACATAAGCACAATTTGACCTATTTGTAATAACACTTTCTTCACTAGGAATTGGAAGGAGGAGTTGGAAGGAAGAACGGGATGTGTCAAGAAACCTTGCTAGAAGCCTTTCTGAAGGAAATGTAGCACTTGGTGCTAAATCAAGGACATCAAAAAATCTTCTACTTCATGTTTGCAAGAAAAAAAATAGGATTTAGGTTCATCGGTAATTCAAGCAGGATTAATGTAAAGCAAGTGAGAACAGAGTGACTTTGTTTTCCCTCTTGTGAATTATTTTGTTTTAAAGATGTCTCAGTAATACAGAACTTCAAAAAAAAAAAAAAAAAATCCAGTTACCGGAAATAAGAAGATTTTCATCAATTCTAAAACAGAATAAACTCATTTGTCTCCTGTTTGAAAATTTACAAGTATTCTCAGTATATTAACAAATAAATATGAAATTTTATTTCAAGTTCTGAATGGAGAAGTGCCTGGGATATCTTCTACCACAGTCTTAGAGTTTTTTCCTGTGTGTATGACTAATAGAATAATACTTCATACAGTGCAAGTCTTAAAGGCAATCAGAGGTACTGTAACTTTTTGGAATGACTCTACATTGCTCACCTATACTCAGTCTTAATTTTGTAATAATTGTGTCATACAAAAGTAGAAAAATTCTTTGGACCTGCTAAATTTTTATTGTGATTTCATAATGTTACCATGGGTTTTCATTTGGAAGCATGTGAAAGACATTAATATTGAAGTGTATTCATGCTGAGCATTAGAATGCTATTTTAATATTAGGTAACATTTTTATTGTGGATAGGTAATACCAGTGTAGTGCCAGGAGACAGAAAAATCTTTACAAAAAGGGTTTTAAAGATGTATTATGTCTTAAAGTTTAGCCTGTGTTTCTAACCTTTTACTTGGTTGTAAATGTTCCTGTTTTGTATTTCAGTTTTGAGTTCATTTGTAAATAGGATAATTATGTTAATAACTCTGAATAAATTTTGAGTTACAACTAAAAGCATTACATGAATTGAAAAATGTACTACTTTATGAGTCAGAATTAATTTTGACAAATATTGCATTAGTGCATACTGTATGTCTTGATAAATGATTGCTATTCACAGACAAGTAGGTTTATAGTTACTTTGTAACCCTGACAGCCTGCCCACCCTTAACAGTATCTTTCTGGTCTATTTGGTCTATATAAGTGTAGGTGTATACGTAAACTTCCCCAAGCTGATTGGAACTAGAGGAAGAAGTCCAGTAACCAGTTACAGTGGAGTTAAACATCTGTCTGAATTCAGCAAGCATCTTGCAATCCAATAGGTTAAGCAGCATGAAGTATGCTGTGGAAGAAGGTTCTGGCTTTCAGCAATAGTAATGGACCTAAAAGAGCTTTGCAGGTGGTGGTTGTTGCTGTTGTTTAATCACAAGTTTTCCTTTGATAGCAGAGAACTGGGTTATGTGATGTAATAGCTTTTATCAAATTCATTCCCAAAAATATTTCAGTATTACCACAAGTTTATGGTTTTATACATGTATTTTTGCTCTCTGTGGTCTTTGATATTTAGGCAAACTAATACAACCTTCTTCTCAGTTACATCTCTCCCTAGCTTTTATATGTTGACATGGTTATTGTTGGAGCATTTTCAGAAGACTTAAGAAGAAGGAAATGGTAACTGCATGTATAAGTGTTCAGGACCACTTGTGGGAGGAACAGACAACATTGCAGAGGCTTTCTTCATCAGGAAAGTTCAAAGAAAGAATAATTGCTTGAAACAGCATTGCTAGTTAAAAACTGAGGTGAGAAATTAAATCCTCTTATACATCCCTTTAGAATGCAAATATAGGTAAGATAAAGTCATTGTGGTGAGCACAGGTTCATACTGATTGCATAATGAGAACTGAGGAAATGCTGGCTGTTTAAAAGGCTGTTATGAACAGTATCCTAAACATAAGATAAGCAGTAAAAGAGTTTAGGACTTGACCACATCCCAGCCAGATGATGTAATAAATCTCAGTAGAATGAAGGGGGTGGTGAGGAAGTCCATTTTAATACTTCTATACCATGATGAACAACAAGATTTTGGGATTAATTTTAACTTATGGTTCTGGCACCAGGTACAGCTGGAATTGTGGAGACCAATATGTTTTTGATTTGAGTTTTTTTTCCCAAGTAGTATCTAATACAAAATGTGCATGGGGGGCTCTTATTCACACTGCTTCACATCTGCAAGAGGCATGTTGGGCTTTGCTTATAAATATAGTTGTAATGCACTTTGCTTTTATGATATGTAAGGCTCAAAATAGGCACTTTGAAAGGTTTTTAGACAAGCGTGTGCATGCAACATCTTGATGCTCACTCAAAACATAACTGATGAGATCTTCCCTGTTGGTTATGTTTTGTGTGTTTTTTGTTTTTTGTTGTTTTTTTTTCTGCATACCCCTGAGTGGAATTGATTTGATCAGCTTGCAATGCTTCCAGGGACTTTAAAAAGAAAAAATAATTATAAATATATAAGGTGTTGAGAAAATCAGCACATAGATGTGAGTTGACTCCCATTCCTGATCAGGAGTATGTAGTCAATACATCTATTTGATATGTTGACTAAAATAGCTGCGTATGAATTTATATTTTATAACTAACAAAATGGTTTCCAGCAATTAGAAGACTGAAGCAGGATTTTTATTATTCAGATGGCTGTTGATTACACTTCTCCATTATTAGTCATACAATTATGTTGTTACATACTATGAACACATCTAGACTTCATGAGCAGAAGGTGCCTAAGAGTACATTCCACATAAATTGCTGGTACAGGACTTCTCTGTGCTTAATAAGTTTTCTGTAAGACTGCCAATCTTTTCTTAAGTAAGGAAGCGAAGAGTATTTGGGGAGCAGAGAAGCTAGCACATAATTCACTTTATTTCCTTGCCTATCTGCATTGCTTGTTACCTGTTAGCTTGCCTTTACAAACTAAATAGAGTAATAGTTCTTCAGGTGACATTTTTCTGAAGTATACATTTAATTTCATTCTGTAGCATCCATTGTTAAATCATGCCAAATGGGAGGTAAAGGAATATTATGCAACGTACATGTAGCATGACCCAGGCTGAATCAAAATTCGAATTACTTAAGTAAATTTAATCTTCATTAGTGTTCAAAAAAATAAATGACAGTAGTTTAACATAAATTCACTGGAAAATGTGCTCCTGACATCTTAGATACCTAATACACCACAGGTAATGAGTGAAATCACCTTACTTGCTATGACATAAATGACAACTTCAGTATGTTTGGATATATATACACAGCAATACTACCGATGACCTTGTTTTCTTATTTAATACCAATACTTAGACTGAGTAAAAGTATCTTGAAATATACTAATGTAAAATCAAAAATTCATGGTTCTGTCTTAATGGATCCTTCATGAGCTCAGTGTAGGAAATCGTTGTAAACCATTGTGTATAAAGGACCACTTTCTACAAATGCCTTGTTCTAGCATTTCTAAAAGTTCATGTGATGAATGAATGAAAGATAAAACTTAGAAAATCTGTAGATATACTATATTCCACATCATTGCAATTTATTTGGAGGAAGGGCAAGAACAAAAATGTTACACCACTAGTTACTTGTAGAAGGTTTTCTCTTAAATATTTGAGGTTACAAGCCACACCTCAAGTGTACTTTGAAAAGAAGTACATATGTCATTACCGTCCCACCCTCTGTACATGTATGTGTAATTGGTGGTGAATAGTATTGACTAATATGGTAGCCTTCATGTTGGGTTCATAAATACTTCTGCGTAACTCCAAAATGAGTACCAAAATTGTGTGCTTGTATAATATTCAGTATTAAAATAGTCATTGGTCTTTCCATCAAACTAAAGCAGTCACAAAACACTCAAAATGCCTGAGAAGATTAGTGTGCACCCAGAAGTATATTGCCGAGGCTTTCTTAACAGAAAAAGTTTCCTTCTGTGGTCTACACTGGGAATATGTGATACTACAGTTTTGTGATTTTTTTCTTCTGTCCTGAATATGATTGCAATCAACAGGAAGCACAATGTTTTAACATCTTGCCACTGCTTGTTAGTTTAGTCTCTGCTAGTACAAGCTGGGAGCCCTAGTAACTCATTTTGGGGGCACTGTCCAAGATTTTAGGACATCTTGCTATTGCTGGCTTTGCAATGAGGTTATTTTTGAAAACTTTTATCAAGAAGTGAAGACTTCCCATGGCCACAGGGCTGAGATGTTTATGGAAATCAATTGGTTGCAAATGTGAAAAGGAAGTTTAAGATCTAGTCCCATCACAGAATTCTTAGGAAAAAATACAAAGGCTGTAGTGTAAAGTTTGTATTGTGGCTCAGTTATTTGTTGTTGTTTCAGGAAAGTGAATTTAGAGAAGGTATCTGAAGCATAGCAAGATGCTTGCTAACCAAGCTTGGGAAGCTATGAATACTTGTTACTGGATGGAGTTGGTTACAGGTGAAAGAAATGCGCAGAAGAATGAGAACAATGTGGTTAGTGGGGCTATAGACTGCTGAGCCATTTATAATGGACTCATTACATCTTCATACACATTTTGCAAAACAGTTTCCATAACATTCTACACAGGTAGTAAACTTAGTGTGAATTCAGTCATTTTTTCTAGTAATTACCTCTAATCTTCACAATGCTTCAGGGTATTTGTGCCAAGTGCCCAGGCATTTTGAAAGGTAATCATGTCCATTGATTTTGCAGAAATTTACAAGGTTTGTTACCCTTTATAGTAAACCAAGAGTTAGATAAACTTATATCCAGACACCTATAGATTTTTAAAGATTATTTGAAGAAGGCTATCTCCTTCTTACTTACAACAAAACAAAATCTGCTGTCCTGTCAATTTGGCAAAGCACAAAAACATGCTTGGGTTATTAGGAAAAGTCACTTTTGCAGTAGTGGTGGAAGTCTCTGAGCCTGAAGCTGGGTGAAGAGATGTACTCACTGGGACAAATATTTAGTGAGTTAGTCCTACATTTAAAGACTGATTATCTGCTGTTGAAGGAAGTCTCTTGCACCTGCAAGTTTCACTACTCTGACTGCAGAAGATAATAGGTAGAACAGGTACTGGGAAGCCTGACAGCATAATATAAAAATTAAGATTTAAGTTAGCGGAGTGGTCCATCTTGAAAATCATTTGGACTTGAAGGTAGCTATATTTCACTTGGATTAGCTTTTTTTAAAATGTTTGTAAATAGACATGAGAGATAATTTTAACAACTTAGACAAAGTAAATGTTCCTAGAAAATTTATCTGCTGGAACTGTAAAATGTGTTCTCTGCAGGAATTTGTAAGAGCCTTCTTAATAGAGAGAGGATGTGTAATGGTAAATGGCCCATTTTATTTCTCTACTGTGTAGTGCTCTTGGGAAAATTATTCCTGATTTCCCCATTGCATTAAGTTTAATTGTGCCATATGTATTAGGTATTAAGGTTTTATGTAGCATGACTATAGTACATTGAAGTACTACAAGGGAGTGAATTAAATATACATATAATTCAATATTAGAAGCTACAGTAGGGCAAATCAAGTTTTAAAACCACAGACAATAGAATGGTTTGGGTTGGAAGGGACCTTAAAGATAATGTAACTCCAACCCCCCTGCCCTGGGCAAGGACACCTCCCACTACATGTGCAAGCCCCCATCAAGCCTGGTCTTAAATCTCTTCAGGGACAGGGCCTCCACAGCTTCCCAGAAGTGAAGAATTTCTACGTAATACCTAAACTAAATCTACCCTCTTGTTTAAGCCATTCCTACTTGTTTTATCACCTTCACAACGAGTCCCTTCCCAGCTTTTCTGTAGGCCCCATTTAGGTACTGAAAGGCTGCTGTGTAAGGCCTTCCTGGAGCCTTCTCCCTGCTGAACAATCCCAACTCCATAGGAGATGTGCTTCAGCCCTATGATCATCCTTCTGGCCTCCAGGCTCTCTTTAAATAGAAGGACATGGACCTTATGCTGGGGCCCCCCAGAGCTG